ATTCTTTTTCAGTAATTTAAAAGAATTTTTTACTGCTCAACTAACGTTTCACGTTTGCCGTGAACGTAAATCTAAAACTCTCTAATATTTACCGAGACGCGAGTCTTCGAGCGGCGAGGTAAGTATTCCCCAATAATCACTGAGCCTGAGGCAAATAATTGTTTTAGTATAAATACACAGGCGATTCTTTCAAAAAAAGAAAAAAAAGAAGATAAAAGGCATATTTTTTCCGGTAACAGGAACAAAGTGGCTGGCCGCCACTTTGGATTTTCGCTCAAGATGATTATCGTGTGATAGTGTGAGTTTCTTGACCAATCAGCGCGCGAGATTTTCTATAATCACCTGCGTATTTTTACTAAAAGTTATTATATAATATATCAAGGAATTCCATTTTTAATAGGGATAGGTCTACAGCTACCACCAAGAAAAATAGAAGGAGAAGAAAACAGAAGTTAAAGGAAAGGCAATCGAATCAACTTCCTACAGAAAATGGGCCGGAAAAGCAAGAAAATAATATCGAATATGAGGAAAAGATTTCCTGACGTTAATATAAGGAGAATCTCCTGTCACAGATGTCGGCATTCATCGTTGATTATAAATTCATACTAGTAAAAAAGTTGCAAACAAAAAACAAAAAAAAACACACACACCTTTTGCCGAGAAAAGGAGAAACGTCGAGAGATGGGAATTGTAAAATATTTCAAATGTTAAGTTTTGGTTTTTAATCAGGAAAAATCTAAACGACGAGGTTGCGAGGAAAGTAACGTGCGAAAATTCAAGAAGATGAAACACAACTCTTAATTTTAGCAAAATTTTATTAAATCAGCTGCATTCCTTTCTTATAAATATCCAGCAGTATTTACAAGTAAAAAAAATCGATTTTTATGATACTGAATAATAATTACGAATTATTCATTTTAAAGAAATTATCGCAAATGTCAACAATTGTCCTAGATATATGAATTCTGTTGATAGTTTATAAAAAAAAATTGTTCCTCACCAACCACATTAAATATTGGAATTCCCTATCTCGTATCCAAATCGGTTTTGCTTTCTTTATCAGTTATGGCTTTCAATTTTGACGCTTGAGTCTTGGAAATGATCTCTGAGGTTTTTATAATCCCTTTGCTTACTCCTGCGCCGATCAAACTACCACAAAATCCCCCTACTATAGCGCCCACTACGGGAACTGGAATCAGGACCTGCCCGACAATGGTTCCCGTGGTACCCCCGATGAACTGACACCCCGAGTCACAGAGCTTATCCCGGACTGTCTTTTGGAACTCTTTCTGGGAAATTAATCCTTTGTCTCTACGGATTTTCGCTCTTGTTACCATTCCTGCAGTTATTGCAACATCTACAAGAACCGAAAGAGCAACCCCAGCTGCGGCCTGACCCATTGCCATGGCAGCCGTTTCTATGCCAACGGTGGCAGTACTTTCTGCTGCTGTTGACGTCACTACGGTGGCGGTTTCAATGATCGTATCTTTAAGGTAACTCTGGTTTTCTGGAGGAATTCCACTGGTGAGAGTGATGTATAGACTGATATCTATTATATTATCTACAGCTTGGAATAAATTATCTAAATGGACTCCTCTTGCCTCCTTCGACGATGGTACATCCAAGAAAATTAATAAACTTATGTAATCTAAGTATTCATGGACAAGGTTTTCCTCAACTTCAAGAGTGACTGTCCTTTGGTACAGCTTTGAAATCACAACCCAAGCTTCCATATTTATTCCTGCACCACATTCTTGAACCGAATTCCAATTTAAAATCGAACAAAGCGTAGAAAAATTCATCCTAAATAATATAATATCCATGTCTTCATACAAAACCGGTGTCGACCATTTCTCGTTTGATTGAACCAAGAACACGAAAGCTGGGTAATGGGTCGGCATATTTAAATGAGTAGATTTGCATTCCCAAATAACATGGTCTCGAAGACATGCTGAATTCATGCAACTTTTATCAATGCACACTGGAATGTCTTGGTTTTTCCTCACGAGTCCATGATGTTGAAAAAAACCCTGAATTTGGCCGGCAGACGGAGTTTTGTCCGTCGCTTCGAAGCTCGGTTCTTCTTCATCTTTGTCACACCACTCGAGATGACAATATTCCTCTTGTGCCTGCTTTTTGTGAATATATTTCCACACGCTGTTTTCATAAATCAGTACGCATCGTTCACAAGGTCTAAAAATCGTTATCTCTGGAAGTTTAGGTTTTGCTTCGCATTCCTGCTCCGATTCGGTTTTTTGTAAATCGTTTTTTCTCCTTAATTTTGGAAATTTCAACAAGCTTTTTACAATAGTTACGGCTTTCTTCATATGCTTTGGATTTGTAGGTCGGTCTTCCTTAGTCGAGTGGATTCTGCATTGTTATGAAGCACCTGTTCAAGCGGGAGATAGCCATACTCTGATCGCACAGCCACATGGGATATACCTCGTTAACCTTTCATCCAGAACTCAGGCGCGAAAAACGTCACATTAACGATGAAAGATTTTTCCTTATCGTTTAAAACCACCAATTCATTGATCTTTAGTGTGAAAAACGCTTAAAAGTCTCTATGGTTGTTAGATAATGAAAGTTGCCCGATATCAAACGCTGTAAATATTTAAGCGATATTAAAAATTGATCGGCAAAACTTGGAATATAGTAGAACAATAGCTGTATTCCAATCTTCCATTTTACGCACTTATTTCGCGCGTGCGATAAGTGATTCGCTAGTTAGACAATAACGCATATCTCTTAATTCTCCTTTAAAACAATGTTGTTGTGAGAGAACAGCATCTGAAAGAGTAAAGGTAATGACAATCAAAAATACGAGAACCAATAGAAAAGGATCAAGTTTAAAATAACATTAGGATTATGTTCAATTAACATCCAATTTTTCCTACGGAATCTCTTACCTATTATAGAAAAGATAATATCTGCACCACCATTTACGCCATGTGCTAGACTTGTTCTAATGACAAAGCATAAAAAATGAAAGAATTGACGTCGATATTTTTCTCAAATCTTCTAATGACCTCAAGCCTTAATCCAGACCAATGAACACTAGAGGGGAAAGCTTCTAGATCTAAATATAATCATTCCAGCAAACAAAATATCACTATAACATATATTGAAAAACTAGTATAAATTTATTATATACTGAAATAACATTCAATGAACTTTGGATTGAATGGAGATTTTTCTGGTCTAAATAGGATTTTGTTTTGATTAACAATTTATAGGCTTTAAGTTTTCGAATTTTTGTTGCCGAAAAAAACGCAGAACTGAACTTATTCTACGTACGACTAAATGTATTTTCACCAAAAGAAAGAAAGAAAAAAGACAACATTTCTTACGTGTTCTTTAAAGTGGCTCTTCAGTATACGATTTTTTTTAGTCAATTCAGTATTTATTTTCTTCCCAAAAACTTGACGGCGCCAAACTTAAATGAAAATGTATTGCGAAAACACTTTCTGAATCGACGCTTTTTTCCTAGCTGCTAAACTCTTGCCGGCTTGCCAACCATAAAAAACCGGCTCCAACTAGTTTTTTTTTTTTTTTTTTACTAAAATGAATGAAACGTGACGTTTATTGTAGAAAGATATGGATCAAGAGCATTGATATTAATTATTAGTTGTTCGGTATTTTCTTCTTTGTGGTAATAGTTATCGGATATGTTCATCTGCGAATTACAATCCTAGAAGGATGCAAGTGGATAGACTGAGTCGGAATTAACTATGAAATTCCCGTCTATAATAACTACCGTCATAGTATTGTTATCTTTAATATTTATATTTGCTAATATCGATCCGCAACCATAAAACAAATGGCTTGAAGTTTTAAAGGGAAAACAATGCATATCCGCCTCAGTTTACAGCGCTAACAACTGGGGGAGCGAAAATGTATATAATTTTCTGTTTTAGAGGACGAAATAGACGCCATCTTGGAAATATATCACCCAAAACAGACCCACATTGCACTGCAATGCTAACTCAACACAGTTTTTTCCTCAATCTTTGAAAACGGAGATAAATTGTGCTCATTGATTCGTAATTCATCGAATAGCACATTCTTTGTACCCCCCCCCCCCTCCTCCTTTTAAGTTTCTGTTTACTAAAGGTAAGGAATTATGAACAATTTCCCCGCTATTGGTCCAGTCCTTGTGTTGTGGTTTACCCTTGTCCCAAGACCCCTGAAAGCATTACTGCGCATGCTCAACGTGCTATCAAGCATCTTTCTCGCCAATCTATTACCCAGAGCCCTTATTTCTTACTGCGCAGGCTCAATGAAATCATTGAGCGCTGACTTCCTTGTGGACCAATCAGGAGGTAGAAAATACCGGAGTTCTGCCGAGCATGCGCAGTAAGAAATAAAGGCCCTGAGAACGAGATTGCTTTCTCACTTTCCTTTTAACTGCGCATGTTCCACCTGTTTCTCCTGGTCAGCAGCGAAAAGCAAGACTCTGATTCGAGCTTATTTTTAGTTTTCTGAAAATCCATTAAAAAGCGATCTCTTTGCGGGCATCTGTTAGACTTAACGTAATCCTAGATAATCCTCACTTTGAATAAGTAGTTCTTTCCCAAAACATGCGTAACCCCGATGGCTTTCGAATCCGCTAACTATACGAGTCGATCAACTTCCGCTTTGAACTTCAACCGGAACCCGAAAATATGCTTTAAATCGCAGTGTGCTGTTATTTGTAACACATCACCTTACTCTCCCACTCTGCAGGTCAAGGTGAGGAAAAAAGCCGTGTTAATCTGCTAACATTGTAGGTTTATTTTTAAAGTCTATACGTCAGCAGCTGAGGGAAACATGGTTACCATTACCACAGGCAACCCAGCATGAATGTAAGTGTAGAGCAGATGCGACCAATGCTTGTGACAATAAAAAAAAAAGCAAGTTTGTGGAAATAAGGAATTTAGACGAAATTTGTTCCAACTGTTTTCGCTGTAATCCCGTTCCGTTTTCTCTTGCCTGAGTATATCTGCAAGCGTGGATTAGAAAACTATTGACTCCATCCCCTCGTGCGCGTCGCTATGCTTCGAATCAAAATATGGCGACCAATTTGAATAATCATCGTTCTTGACTGACTAGCCTCTCATACATGTGAAAACGATTATATTTCCATGTGAACACGAGAATAGTCAGTCGCTAGGCAATGCAGAACAATAGTTATTCCAATTTTTCGCCATATTTCGATTCGGTCTATGCAGGCCAAATTGCAAGGCTAATTAATGACTGGATATATATATATAGAAGCTCATAAAAGCGCAGAACATAAACTACGCATTACTCATAACAGCACTGACCTTTTATCAAGTATTGCCGGAACACTTCAGTATTTCTCCATTTTTTTCCTCATTCCTGACCCGGAAAAACAAACCAATGAACGGCACACATCCATGTCTATCGAGGAGCAAGGTTCCCCAAGGGAATGAAGCTTATGCTGACCTTCCGAAGACTTTAAATACGGACGAAGTAATCAAATCCACATTTCATTGAGTCGGTGCATCAGAGGAAATCAGGATTTCAAACTATTAAATTTAGATTTGTCTATGATATTTTAAAAGCTCCCGTAGTATTGCACCACAAGCGGTCCAATCTTGAAATAACTGCTCGGTCGCTTATTTTACGACCACCCGACGCAGATTATGTGTTGGTATTTATCACCCGAGGTGAGATGGCACGAAACGGGAAAAAATAGCCAGTTAATTGCCACAAAAATTCATAATTTCTGCCATTATAATGTACCAATCAGCTGAAAGATCACTTGGCACACTAGAGTTTACTTTAATCTCCAGAACAATAGATTTCATCACAACCACTACGACTGTCATTCATTTGGATTTTCACAGTGTCAAGTCTTGCTATGCGGCCTCTGTCTCTCGGCTCAACAAGCCTAAAAGTCAATACTAGTTGAGCAAAGACCACGAAAAAATACGCAGATACAAATTTGAAGTTAGAAAGACTAACGTATTTTACATCTTTTGGGTTTGAAGGATAGTTTGCCAGGATTGTTAGTTGTCTTTACCAGCGCTCTTTTGAAAGAAATTCAAACAGACGATGAAAACAGAAGAAAATAGTGCCTACAAAATTAACGCAAGGTCACTACAATGAAAGGTATGTTGAAAGTGCACTATGTTCTGGCTCACATCTGTACAAATTTTGGTAAAATTGTTCAAGTTTCAACAGTAGAAATAGTAAAAGAACATTTTTTCTTGCAACTAGTGATTCAAATTTTTTTATTGTAAATCATTTCGTGTCCAAAATTATTATTATTTTTAATGTCTTTTTTCTACATCAGTTAAATAATCAATTTGGACGGTAGCGAAGTCTAAACTGAGCTCTCTGAAAACTTCGTAGTCCTTTTAAAGCAATGCTAAATATTTGTCAAATTGCAATCCATTGAATTATTAGAAGCATACTTGAAAGCCGAATGTGGTGTTTGAAGAGCCTTATTTCGCAGCATACCATGACGTAACGTGTCCTATTTCTTATCTTTACAACCAGCATGTCGTATTTCACGAGTTTGTGGCTTATAACCTTCAATGTTTTTGTTTAATTTTGCCTACTCGTGGCTTTGTTTTCTCGCAAGGGCAGAGAGTTATGCTGAAATGTATCATTACGTGTGCTCGTATAGGGGACTGTAGAGCACATAGACGTCATAAACTTGAAGGGAGTAAAGGCTAATATTTGATCCTACACTTTTAGACACGTATCCGGATCCAGTTCAGTTTTGAAAACGGAATTTTGTCTTTTCGGATTGGCCTTCCTTCCACGCGTATCCGGTGAATACACGACTTGAAAAGCGAGGCTTCAAATTTCTTTTTCTTTATAAATATCATTGCAGTTATCTTTTTATGTTCCGTGATACTAAGTGATACATCTCAGCTGTAGGACGATTATTATTCCAGACTGGAATGACTGATTAGAGATGGAAGTTCTTCAAATACGTATAGAATTATTATTGACGATGAAAACAATTTACCTAATAACGAAAACAAGAAACTCGAGATTTGATAAATATCTCGAAATTCCTTAACTTAAAAAGCTATGAAAAGGATGAATATTCATACAAGGCGTATTGAATGCCGCGGAATTGATGTTCAAGAAATGAACTAAGAATAAATATTTCGAAAATTTTGGCTCTCCTTTTGAGCACTGTTCTGTTTGGCTTTTCACTTTAATCTACTTATTCTAGAGTCAAAGGGTTTAAATAGAATATATTTCACGCATGTTATTGTAGCTCAAGTGTCTTAATGATACTTAATATCAATAAATGGCGGGGGAGAAATGGCGGGAAAATCAGCAGACGCGCGCGCTCGTGTTTCTTACTGGTTAAAAATTTGGCGCTAAAGACGAACGGTACAATCATGCGACGTCTTCTTGTGTGCTATATTTGGCAAGATGGCGGTGCATGACCTTTGGAAATATTCCTAGAATTGAAAGTGAAGTGTTTTTCTGGCGAAAGACTTGTTGATTAATATCGGGGAGAATGTTAATGATCTGATAACTAAATTCATGCTTCTATGTGCTCAATGTCTTTCTTGTCTATGTCTAAGTTTATTTCTCATTTGAAGTAAAAATATTAAGTTCCATTAAAAACTAAAATTTAGAATTATTTTGGAAAATTTAGAATCAATTTTGTGATTCTTTAGTAGCATTAATATATTTAATGAAATACATGTGTGCATTGTGGTACGATATATTTACCCCTGCGACGTCACGTCGTCCTTAATTTAACAGTTCTAACTTGTTAAAGGTGAAAAAAGTGTTGTCTATTTTGAATTTGATTGTGAAGAAAACGTTTGGACAGAAAATGTTTGGGGAATTCTGGAATTCTAGGAAGTTTTTCCTCAGTTACTGTGTGTCTATTGTTTAAGTTACGTTCCTTAATGTAAATCTAAACGCCCAAGAGTAAAGTCGCTTATCTTGTCTGGGGTCTTTGCATTTTTCAACTGACATACAGAGCACTGCACTAACCCGTTAAACCTCCCAAAAAGAATTCAAATCATCTTATTCAGCGAAAACTAATACCCTTTGCACTTTTTATCAAAAAAATGGCGGTTTCTTGTATCTTCAGCCTTTGCGCTTCACTTCAGATTATTTCTCCCAAAAATATTGTTTTTGTAAAGGATATTTTGAATTGTATCCAGATATTTAATTCATTTTCCCGACTCGATAAGTAGATGAATAAAGGCCATAAAATGTTCAACATTGCTGTCCATATCTTCTAATCAAACGGAAGTGCCATTCATCGAGTCTAAAGAGCGAGATCAGACAAATATCTCTAACTTGATGTGAAACACTTGAATTATGTCTAGGAAGAATTTGAATTCCGTTCAACAGTTAAAGATAAAGTTCCCGTTTTCTCAAATTTCATTGCAGTTCTTGTACGTTTGGCCAATGAGTAGGGTCTGGTAACAAGAATGGATAAGCTAGTTCCTAGGTCCTCCGTGGACACCGGAAGTGATATTTCTAACAGTGATTTTGTTTGGTTATTATTCAGTTGGTTGGAAGCTCGGTGTTTACCTTGTTGTAGCGTCAGCGGTTTGTCTGGTCGTCCTGGCAACAACAATCTTGGCTGTGCGGGTCTACCTTAGCAGGAAAAGAAAGAAGACGATTTGCAATGGAATCATGAGTCAGCTTGGGATCTCTCAGACGGCTCCTGACTTCACCATCCCTCTGATGTTACCAATGCTCATACAAGATAGGTTGAGCTCCGAAGGGGAGGTATTTGATCCTGTTTCTGATAACTGGCCGATTGGGATGGATACGCCCTCGTTAGTACAGCCGGATGGAGTCTTTGAAGACAGGGAGGGAGGGGAGGTACGGTAGCAGTTTGTATTTGACTCTTTAAATACACGCGTCGTTATGCAAAAGATTCAAGCCTCGATTCAGAACGAGGGAGAGTGGGCCCTCCCAACATGGCGCCGATGACGTCACTCCCTTAAAAATCCTCGCTAACAAGCGGCAACTATTTCTACCTTCCAGTGTCTATTTAGTCTTCCTATTTTCATTTTTGCCTGATCCATAACCCTCCCTCCCCCCCTTCAAAAAAAATATGCGTAAAAGATTACTCACGTGATTTGGGTGCCTCACAGGAGACCGCTGGCCCAGTAATCAGACGACTCGAGTCTGTCATGGACGTTTCTATGTTTCCCGAACAACCAAGCTTCGAAAAAGGGCAAGAAGTCGGAGGACCCTGGAAGAGTTCACGAAGAGAATCGTTATTCTTTCCTTCTTTGTTTGGTACGCGAACTCGTAGCGCTGGTACATCGACAACATCCGGGGGGGAGATGTCACTGCCTTCATCACCCGGTAAACCAGGTACTACTATTTAGAATACTGTGATATTTAGTTGCTGGTAGTGGCTTCCGATCAAGTCCGATTGTGATTGGGTGGCTGGTGTTTTCGTGATCTATGATTGGTTCAGAGGGGAGAAAGCAAGTAAAAACTTTGACTTCGATTTATTTAATCACGTACCTACTCAAGATTAACGAGCTTATACCAGTACATACATAGCGCGCGCAACATCTATCGACCTTAGTATTCGCTAGGGTGTAATGTCTTTTCTATTTCAGATCATGTGCGGTTCCGGCCCTTGAGGATAAGATACTTTGTTTGAGTTGTATCCATCAGTCATGTGCCTTCTCATACAAAACTGTTAAACAAAGAAATGATACTCTAGGGAATGAAACGTGGTCTGATATGGAAAAAAAAACATTTCAACGAATCAGTTTTTCGGTTTTTTCCTTTTTTCCGTTTTTTATTTTTTACAACGTACGTTGAATGTAGTTTAGCAAAAATCTTTAGTGGAAGGTAAATGAATAAGGATGTGATCCTATTCTTTGTGACAGAGAGACGCAGTACACAGCGCAAGAGAACAATATCAGACAGCTCATCAACACGCAACGAACCAGGCAGTCCGATTCGTCCACGAGTGTGGTCAGACATGACCGCGACGAAGAAACCACAAAAGCCACATCTGACCAAGAAAGTAAGCTTACCCGAAGGTGCCATGAGTGCTAGGCCACAACTAAAGAAACGCTTCAGTGAGATACACCGCCGACAGAAGTCCAGTGATAGTATAATTGTTGGTGTTGGTAGTAAGCCATCAGCGAAGGTACTACTCGCCACTAAACGAGGCAATATTGTCCTGACCATGCGATACAGTGGTGAAGAAAATCAGTTCATTGTTCATTTGATCAACGCGACCGATTTACCAATGAAAAATAACAACTTGTTGGATACGTTTGCTAGGCTGTACCTCGTCATGCCGTCCAAGCAGTTGCGCCAGCAAAGCAAGGTGAGACTGGCGAGCTGAAAAAATGAACAAACGTGCACTTTAGGGGGAGGGGGTTTGGAACTTTTGTGCGTGTGCTGACCAGAAGTACTGCTTGCGCAAACTTTCAAAACTTATTTGATTTTTTTTTTCTTAGCTGCACAAGAAGACTTGCAACCCAATATACGACGAGTCGTTCACATTTGAGGACATCGTTTACTCTGAACTGTTACAGTCTTATTTGCGAATCAAAATTCTGCACAAAGATGGCTTTTCTCGGGGAGAGATGATTGGAGAGTCGGCTATTGATCTCTCGGAGCAAGAAATATTGACAGGAAAAGTATTACAACGGGCCCTGTTACCAAAAGCAACCAGCATCACAGAGGTAAATAGACTATACTATACTATAGGAATAAGAATGTACCTGAGATGGATCTATAGTAATAAGAATGGACATGAATTGCATAAATTGAATCAATGTATAGGAATAAGAATGTACCTGAAATGAATTGGCCGGAACGTATAGGAATAAGAATGTACCTGAGATGAATCGATAGTAATAAGAATGGCTTTAATTGCATAAATTGAATCAATGTATAGGAATAAGAATATACCCGAAATGGATCAGATATGAACGTATTTGAATAAAACTATACCTGAAATTGATTGGATAAACGTATAATGAGAATAAGAATGTACCTGAGTTAGATTAATTTTTTTTTTCTGTTTTGACAGGATGGGCCAGGAGAGCTTCTCGTGTCTGTTTGCCATCACGCAACAAAGGCACAACTCAAAGTAGTTGTCATTAAACTAAGAGATTTACCCAAATCATGCAAGAGTAAGTAAAAACTATTCTAAAAAAATCTATGTGCAGCATGTATGTACTGCGTAACAAATAAATAACCATGATCCATGGAAGCTGAGGCGCCGTACCGACTTCTGACCTGACGGCAATCAAGGCAGAGCAATAAATTATGCAGTCTGCAATCATCTTATTTGTGTATGATCTTTGATTTTGTTCAAAACAGATTCCAGCATCTCGGTTGAGTTGATATACCAAGACGAAACACTACAACGACAACAGACTCGCACAAAAAAGCCAAAGAAAAGTCCAATCTTTAACGAAGAACTCAACTTCCACATCCCAACCAACAGCTCCAACACATTAGAGAATTACAGTCTACAATTTACAGTCTTTAGTCAAGATATCCTGAGGGGGATGGTGTGCGTCGGTTATGTGACCCTTGGTATCGATGCGCTGAGAGAGTCTGAGGTTCATCATTGGAAGGCAGTTGTGTCGTCACCACACAAGCCGGTGACAGGGCTGCACAAGCTCCATAGAACACCAGTTTGAATTGGTTCAGAAAATATTTCGCAATATAGCTCTTTCAAATTTGAGACCACGTGTCATTTCCTAGAGCATCATTTCTTTGTTTAATGGTTGCACATTAATATGGATACAACAATCTCATTCTCAAGAGAATGACACGTGGTATGGAAAATGGAAAACATTACGTCCAAGGTAAATAGGTCTATCTTGTGATAAAATCTGGCTTTAAATCAGAAATTAATGCAATTTGACCCTTTATAGACAAAATTTCCCCTTCAAATATCACGATAATAGAAGTTCTTGTTTGAGCTGCGTTTCGTTTAAACTGAGAAAGAAATAGCACTCAAGGTAATGACATGTGCGTGAAGATGGGAATATATTACGCTCAAAAGAAAGGGTTTCATAATTGACGAAGAGTGCAACGAGAACTCGTAAGTTAACCAGAAACATATATGCCTGATGGATAACGTTTTTCGAAGAAAAGCGTTTCACTAAAATCCCTTTTAAAAGGGAAAGTAGGCGAGCTAGTTCGGATAAGAAAAGAAAGACTAATTTATTATCAATAAAAGATATTATTATATTATATTAACTATATTTTTCTATGAGTAAGAAAAGTTAACTAAAGATATTTAAAGCAAAGAAAGAGCGTAGTTATAGAATGTAATGTAATCAAGATATTTGTACAAGGATGAAAATAAAGTTCAAAATAAAATTGATATGTTTTCTTTTTTTTTGATTTTTTTTACTTGAAAAAAAAAATCAAAAAAGACGCGGTCAAATTGGTGTGGAAGTATTCCTTCGTTATTCTGAGAAAGCGAACTGGCAAACAAAAAGGAAAGAAATTCTTCCATGTTCTAGAAATGAGCTAACATTTCTGTTCGAACAGAACAGTTTCAGGTCACTACCCTAGCATGTGACACCGTACTATGGCCCATTAAGGCTTGCAGTAAGTTATGAAGAAAGAATGCTAATAAGAAACAAGTTGTTGCTGTTTAGACGAATTGATGCATGTCTAACGATAAGTTTGAATCATAAAAAACAAATCTCTTTTAATTTTCGACGATTTCTCATCTAAAACGGATTATAATTTTCGATTAAAAATTATTAAAAAAAAAAAAGAAAAAAAAAAAAGAATGAAGTAGGTATAAATTACAGGTCACCCATCCAGGTACTAACTTCGCTTAACCAGACTTGACTCAGTGTCATGGAAACCCAAGGTTTTATCCAGTAGACCACGGTTCCAGGTGAATCAGCATAACAATAGCCGTGAAAACAATGCACCGAATAGACTAGACTTTTTGACATAAAACTTTCAACCGATTCCGTGCGTGGCAGAGATGCAAGGGATTAGCCGATATGGTCTGGGGGCCGGCTGGTCTCTCCCCTGATGCTTYGGCTAGAACATTTTCTTGCGTAATTCGTACACCCAAGGGCAGAAGGATTTAATCGCCGTCAGGTCCGAAGTCCATACGACGCCTCAGCTCTGCGGATGTCTAGGGGGTATGGCAAAGKGGRGKSGWTTTTTTTTTTTTTTTTTAAATTCCTGTCGGTGGGTTGGAACCGCCATCGTATCCAGATAAGAATTTTCTTTTTTTTTTTTTTAACGCATATTATTATCAATTTCTTAATAGTCTTTTTATAGAGTGACTACCCAATTTCTTCTTGCTCTGATTAAAAGCTAACTAAGATATTCAGAATAACAGCTAAGTAAGCAATCTCGATCAAAAAAGGCCGAGGGAGGGGAGGGGGATTTTCCTGATTTGAAATGCCTCCTGGGAGTATGTTACTGTCAAGAACTTTTACTCCCCTTGCTGTCCCTTCTCTGTATTTTCCGTCTATGTATTGTTATAATTTCTGTAAATATGGTACGACTGGGACTACTCACTACCATTTAGGGGCCAGCATTTCTCAGTCCCCGTTTCTCACAACTCACGATCGTTTCTTATTTTATCAGCAGGGATCCCTGTGTTGTTGATGTAACCGATCTTTCGTTATTTCTCGTGACTTCATACGAGGTAAAAGTCAACAGAACAATACTGATAGCTGTCATCACTTCAAAAATCCGTTAATACTCGCTTCCCTTACGAGAGAAAATGTAATCTTATGACTCATATTGCTTTCTATATTTTGGAAGTAAAAAGTATCCAGTATCCCGTACAGATGAAACTAGGAATAAACTATGTAAAGGGATAGGATCCTAGGAGATTGAAGAACAGAATTCAAGGCATGAGAACTGGACAAGCTCAAGCCAATCAAGTGATAACAGATACGAAGATACGTAAGGTCGTTTAATATCTTCAAGGCGGGAGTTAGTTTTGAAATAACGACCACACATTCGAAGTTGATCAAAATACGCCAAGGGTGTTCAAATACTCATGCTCAAATACTTGACGTCCTAGACTTTGATTGCGTACTGTTTGAAGTGAAGAGTACAGTTTGATTCAAAGGCGAAGATTGGAGGAACATTGAATGTTTCAAAAAAATTGAGTTACTTGGTTGTGAAGTTTGGAGCGGTCGTGAAGGATGTCTACATCAATGCATTATGCTGCGCTCTCTGTCGGGATAATCGTGTTAGTCATCCTTGTTTGTCTTGCTGTGTTTGCAATCATTTATTTCAAAAAACAGATGATACGACAACCAAGAGAGACATACAAACGACTTCCTTCGCAGTATTCGTACATCACTCCTTCTGAAACTCCTGTCTTCACAATACCTCCATACGTCACGCTTGAGGAGAATGTCTTTGAAGAAGGAGACGAGAGCAGCCTTGGAAGTTTGAAAGAAGATCTGGACGAGAATAGGAACAGCCCAAGCGAATCGCCTCAAGCTACTCCAACGGCATTAGGAACCCCGCGAATCTCTCGACCACAGCTCGTTAGGTCCATCAGTGAGGTTCCTGGGTACACACAGGACAGGCATAGTTATAAATACCGCCAATCATTATCCTCAACTCGCTCTGGTGCTATGCCCTCACACAAGAAGGCCTATAAAAAGAGCTCTCTTTCTCCTTTCGGGAAAATGCAAGTGTCGATTCATTTTGAGGCCAATAAGAATCTGCTTGTCGTTCAGGTATGGAAACAGAGCTAACATTCAAAATTATTACATATTTTCTACTTACTTATGATTATAGGTTATTATGTATTGAAACTGAACTGGTATAAGTTACTTGGTATTAGAATGTCACGTCCGATATTGAGACATGTATAAACTTAGGAGCTTGTACAAATTTCTTCAAATATAGCTAACAATGTTTCAAAAAATATTATCAAATATTTATAATCTATATCATAATCTTGCTCCATTTTTCCTAACATTCTATCAAAAAAAAATTCTTTTCTTTTTGTTCTGTTATGTTTTTATGATAATCCTGACTACTTTACTGATCGATTTAGAATGAAACCTTCACTATGCTCTTAAAGCGGAAACGCTAATTCTTAGTAAGGAGAGTAAACAAAAAAACGAAACAGGAAAAAGTGTTTTCTCAAATAACACTTCAAGTATAGACTTGTTCCGCATCTGAAAATATTTTATATTTGGAGCGCTCTGAATGAGATATTCTACTCGTTTTATGATTGGTTTACTTGAATGACCTTTACAACTTGATGACGGATACATGTAACTTGAGTGTTAGTTTATTAATTTACGTACTTCCGGTTGAAGATGTGGAAAAAAGAGTGTGGGCTACCTGTGGAATGAGTCAGTAGATGACCCTAATCAAAGTCGATAACCGAACGAGAAGGACCTCAAGAATAGACTCAAGAGCAAACATACATTGCACATTAGAGTACAAAAAAGGCAGATTCTTTGCTTCAAGAAATAAAAGAATAAGAACGAGAACAATATGTTCATAAAGTAACTATTTTCTCTGATATTTTCTGCCATTTTGATCCCCCCCCCCCCCCCAAAACGGTATTGTCCTTTTTCGAATTTGGTTTTTCGTTCATTTTCAAAAATTACCGAAACTTAACACGTATAAAAAATTATAAGGAAACGTAAATTTTCTTGCTTTTTTCCCAGGTGAACGGCATGTACGACCTTCCTCAGCTTCGTACATCCGGGGTTTCAACTCCCTACGTCAGAGTTATTTTACTGACTGGAAAAGACGACAAAGAAACGCGTACAAATTTTATGAATCTGTCGAATAACAGGATCTGTGTGTTTGATAGAATCTCGTTAGAAAAGGTTAAAGAGTCCACCTTAAAGTTTGTTGTACTGGACTACGATCGATTCTCACGCAGGTATTAACATTTTGTACTCCACTAACGTATACTGCTCTTATGTTCAGTCAATAGCAGAAAAAATATGCTTAATTAACTAGCAATTTGCTTTTTAAAATCGTTCTTTTCAAATTTCCTCATGCATTTAGGACATTAGGAACATTGTTTATGGGTTTTCTATCTATTTTGTCCAGTGTTGCTTAGAAGTTCGTTTAGTCATGCGCTGTAGTAAATGTCTAGTTCAGTCATGCGCAGTTAACATTTATTTCAGTCCTGCGCAATCTCGTACCCAGAACCAGGATCCCAGATCCCTTATTTCAGTTACTGCGTTACTCGAATAAATAATTATTTCGTCGAGCATGCGCAGTGAGAAATAAGAGCTCTGGGTACGAGTTTGTCATGCGCAGTAGTGAATTGTATTTCAGTCATGCGCAGTTTACTGGAATATTGATTACCTGAGATAAAGTCTTTCTTGTGATGTAATGAGAGACATTCTTCTTCTTTCTATTTTAGCGAATTCATTGCAGACGTTCTTGTACCATTATCTGAAATCAATGTCGAAGAAGGCGAAACGATCCTTAGAAAACTGGTATCTCAAGAAGTTCCTGATGAGGTGAGAAAATTTCTCCTTCCTTTCTTACTGTTTCTACCGTTTACTCTTTCTTCGAAACCACGCTCGGTTGTTCAGCGGTTGGTTGCCTAGGCATCCGAAAATTCCTGGCAACCAACCGCTGACCTCTTCGAGCGATGCAATTTTATAAAAGTAATAAAGTTTACTGGTTTCCGAATATCTGTTACTAGGATGGTGAGCGAGGTCAGCTGTCGGTATCCCTGTGTCAGGAGCCAAGGGCAGGTCGCTTAGTAGTTCACGTCATCAAAGCCGAAAACTTACCACCTCCAAAGTCTGAAGACCACCTTGGTGAGCCAACTATACTGAATGATTAGCTTAGAATATAAGCCGATGCTGAGAAGAAAGTGTTATGGCGGGAAAATGAGAGACGCGTGTGGAGATCATCTCAGCACGAAATTTTACCTTAAGTTACAAATTTAAGTTTATTTTTTTTATAAATATGGTGTAACGTGGTCCAAACGACACCAAATAAGATTTGATAAACAAAAGATTTTCGTACCCAAACTAGACCACAATGCACCACGTTTACTATTTAAAAAAGTGCTATGGCATGTCTTACTGTGTCGTGATGGACGACAAAACGAGCCGACAAACACACAACACTAACCTATCTTATCACATTTAATTATGTTAAAAAATGTTAATATTCATAATTGTTATTATAATATTAATAATCAATAGTTATTAATGACGTTTATTGCGGTATTTTCCTTCAGATACTTACGTTAGAGTGACGTATTACGTCCAGAGAAAAATGGTGGACAAGAGAAAAACAAAAGTCGTTAAACGAACAACATTTCCAGTTTTCAACGAAGTGTTTGTCTTTGAAATGAAAGAGGAAGAACTAACGAACTCTAGCATTACCTGCGAGGTCTTTCGAGGGGATTTTAAACTCAAGGCTTATAAAATCGGTCTGATTAATCTTGGTATTCATTCGTTTGGGAGTGAAATACGACACTGGAATGAGATGATGTCATCACCGCAAAAACAAGTGCTTCAGTGCCATAAACTACATACTTAGTACTCAAAGTAAAATATATAACTTGAGAGACCAACTCCTGTCATCAGCTATCTGAACTTTGATCGACGTCAGTCCAATTTACTCATTAATAAGGGCGCAATCCCCCACCCCACTGCTTACCATTTCATATCTTCTTAAACATCATTGGTAAACATGTTTTGGGCACGACAATGCTATTCCTGACATGTTGGTTTAGCTTGAGGTCATGCGCAAAATGTGTACCGCTGTCAAAAGAAACTGCATGCTCGCTTGTTTGTATACATTAGCATTAAAAATCACATCAATTTGGGGCCGCGATACTTCTGTGATATCTCAATAAGATATTTCGTTTTACTTTTTTTTTTAGCCTTGTCACCTTAACCGGACAATCTAAACAAACTTCATTATCTTATCTATTATCTTCTATTGTTGATAAAATCTATTGAATAAAATCTATTAACTCGCTCTGTTTGTCTTCATATTTAAATTGTGAATTCCTTTCCTTGCTAAATGTACCGCCAGCTTTACAGTATTAACGAAATTGAGCTCCGACATCAAATGATCACCTAAAAAAGTAATTCAGATCATTTTCTTCGGATTTGCCTTCAAAAATTGAATCGTCTTACCAAGGCAATTTTTTCTTTGAACAATGCGTTTCCGCAAAGGTAATCTGGCCGGGTGTAGGAAGACATTCAAGCTGTTCTTTTAGCTTTCCTTTTAAAGCTATACTCATTTCTCTAATTATATTAAATAATTTTGTTGTATTATTCTTTTTGGAGAGAAAAAAATATAGGTTCTTGTGACTTTGTGTTGCTGGAGACAGCCCTGGTTTTTCGCAGCGTTATATTGAGGTAAGAAACTATATTTATTACAGACAGAAACCTTCAACTAACGTGAAAGATTACTATTCTGTTCTCACACAACCAGCTGTTGCCTTTCCTACGCCCTTTTATTTTCATATGGGTTTATAAATTTAATCTTCTCACGAAGTTCCGTGGTTAGGAAACTCATTTGAACCCAGTTTCGGTCGAATATTATCGAGAGCCATAAAATGAATATCTAAGATTTGGATTTGTAATGCTATGAAAGAACAGAGCTAAAACTTATAAATTAGGCCGGGTATAAAAAAATATAAGGGTTAATCTGACTTTATTGGAGTTTTAACACCAATAACACTTTTTATTTCACAACTTTAGTAATCTAAATTTTGAGTGCCTTAACTTTTTAGTTCCATTTATAATTAGCTTTTTTCATTTGCATATATTTTTATACTAACAAAGGAAAATCCTTTAAGCAACAAACGATAAACGATTTGAAAGTGGGAATTAAGGAAATTTTTTTTTCCTCACCAAAAATCTAGTGGATTCATTCAAAAGGATGAAACGAAAGAAAGAAAAAAATAGAGAATAAATGAAAATGGGAGAGCAGTAAAAATTCGAACCTTCTACCAGCTCGTTTCGTTAGCAACCGAACACAATCAGTGATAATCCATCCATCTTCGCAGCTATAGGCTTTTAATCTATTTTGAGTAGCTCTCAATTCTTTATTGATAATATTATACTTATACACTAATATAAACTCAACCATACTATAAAGAATTGAATGATTCAATCTTTAAAAGCATTCCCTATACTCGGTATGATAACACGTCAACATATAGACCCAAGACGTTCTAATATCACAACTATATAAACGACCTGTCAATCGGTTTTCAATAGACAATCTAGGAGGATCTGTACGTGTGGCGTACAGCAAGATATCTTCACTTACTTTGAAAACAAAAGAATGGAATAGTACTGAGAATTCCATCATGATTTGTAGCTTGTATTAATGAAACGAACGTTGTACATTTCAATCCAGGCCTTTACCTCAAAACATTAAAACGTTCATTTGTGAAAAGAGTTTTTGAACAAATCGTCACACCCGAAACCGAAATGACTTTAAAAAAAGCTTTACACGAATCTGTAAAGATCTATAATCTAATACTAACTTATAATCCGAGCTAAGAATTCAAATTCGCAAGCTTCAAATCAAGATAGAAATCAAACTTCAATAATCAAACAGCAGGAACTTGTGGATAAATTGAATTGAATCACCGTGAAAAGCTATGTGAAACTGACGTTTCGGACGTTAGTCCTTCGTCGGAGTAAGTGGAAAGAAAAGATGAGAAGGGGTGGATAAATACTAAGGTGGAAAATAAAGTAGCCAATGAGAAATCAGCGTATGAAGAAATAAAAGGAAAACAAAAAGGATCGAAAAAATAAGTGAGAAATGGTAAACGAAGCATGACTAATAAAAAGTGAAGCGTTCATTCATCCCATGTTGACTGATGGTACCAGGTGAGTGAATAAGTCGCATTTCTAAAGTTTTGCGGGAATTATTACCGCCTTGCAATAAACTTAAATCAAAGACAATTATGTTAGATTCTGAGTGATTAGCGGAATTAAAGTGGCATCTTTGAACCTTGATAGCCAGGAACGCATGAGCTGGTTTGACTGTAGACTTTTAGATCGTTTTCTCAAAGACCTGAACTGATACTTTAGCTATGGTATAACAATACTAATATAGCAATACATTCCATATATACTTTTTTTTTTTTTTTTTTGTAAATTGGCCTGAAAACTGAGCCCTTTTGGTTGTCCAATAAAGCGTATGCATGTACATACTGTAAGAGACCGTGAACTAATGTCAACACACGAAAAATCCGTAAAATATCACCCTGAATCATAACCTTAACATATCTCGACCTTATTAAATCAAACTTTAAAAACAAAAACAAAACAATCAAAATTGTACGACCTGATTTTACAAATTTGACAAAAATTACATCCGTTGTCATGGCAACAGGTTCTATAATTGCCCCATAATTCATCTTATCAGTCCAATATAAACTTAAGTAAAAATTTTCCTCAAGAGCCAATCAGATGACGAGATATTTATATAAGAGTGAAAATATATTCCATACACATTTGAAGTGATTAATTTAAGGTTTACGAAGTTGGGTTAATGTCTTTCAATATTTTCCATAAGAGCATTCAAGAGTTATTCATATTGAGGAAAGACAGCTTTGAGTCATCCTCATTGCAGTATACAATCTTGTATTGGCCGGACACAATCTTTTAAATAAAGCAACCACTGCATTGACAAAGTATAGCTGTCGTTATTGAGAAGGATATACTTGATCAAGCTGTCAGGAATCAGACAACCGATGCTACACTAGGGAAGGAAATCTCGCGGTTAGTTAGAAAATGGAAAATGTTCCTAGAGAATGAAAGGAACTTTTATGATATTTCCATTTAAACTGTTAAACTTTTTTTTTTTTTTAATTCTTTTTATCTTTTTATTATTATTTATTATTATTATTATTATTATTGTTATTTATTTTGTCTTAAACTCCACTCACTGTGTGCCCATCACTTGCATAAGCATAAACATAAGCATATAGTAGTTAATGTCATTCAAAATTTCCCTAGATTTCTTCCTTGTCAGTCTGGGGACTCAAGATCAATTGCGTGCTGCTCGTATCACGAAAAGTCCCTGAAATCTGAATATAGCACCTTGTTCAGTCTCTGCACACGTATTCCACGTTTTATCGCAATAAATCTAGATAGTTTTACTACTAACATTTCGAACCCTAAGTATTTTCAAACTAAGCATTTTTAACGCCCGTCGAATGAAAGATACCGACGTTTTTATCATAGGATGTATATCTATTTTATGTCATACAGCTAAGATTTCTATCTCAAACTCATCGAATAATAAGCACTTTATTCAAGAGCCCTTGTTTTCGTATCTTTCTCATAAGTTACTCATCCAAAGTATACTTCCTACTCACCCTCTACGCCGACCTGTCGTCAATCTGCTGATCAAAATTCGAAACACGATTTCTCTGAGACTTACAGACTATGGAAATGGTTTGCTAAAGTGTAAAAACCTTAGCTTGAAAACAAACAATGAGAAATGAGCTTTTTGTTCCATAGAAAAGCTACATCAGTGATTTGATTACGATTCTAAGTTTCCAACACTTAAGAAACTACTTACCTTCGGAGGAACAGTAGCACCCTTAACTACGGCTTATATATGAATATGCCAGTAACTTCCTGCTGAGCCATAATGAATGGAAATCAGTCTACGGACGTGCCATTCGTCTAGTCGTCGTATCCCTTCTACGAAGAAAGAAAAGCAAGCCAACTTTGAATTTTTTAAATTTTTTGATACATCAATTGCAAGGATTTGGACTGAAAAGGTACGGTTTATATTTGTTGAAAGGACTTTTCATGTTCTTGATATTGTTGGGACTATCGTTTGAATGGTAGCTCCAGTTGAAAGGACTTTTCATGTTTTTGATATTGTCGGGACTGTCGTTTGAATGGTAGCTCCAATTAACACAAAACAGTTTAGTACGAAAAAGAAAAATGCACTAACCGTAAATAGGCCGTTACAAAATATAAGCTGTTCGTGGGATAATGCGCTACTAGTGTAACAATATGATTGATATTTGAAGGCGAAAGGAAAATCCAAAAAAAAAAAAAAAAATGAAAACACATTGGTATACACACACGAGCTCAGTGAAAAACTCTCGGCACTTAGACTTACTTTATTTCTTATTCCTACGATGACAATTCGAACGACTTATGTCAACAAAAAAATAAATGTTGAAATAGAAAAAAAGAAAAGGAAAATACGATAGTGAAATCTAACGGATTATATTAAACACTATAGATAGAAATAAGAATAAAATACTTCAGTATTTTAAAAGGGTTTTTAACAAAATCGTTTAAAAGCTATAAACAACCGGTTATGATAGTTTTAATTCTTAAAATCTACTTTGTTTATTCGTCTATTTGTGATTTAGTTAAGAGAAATGCGAGATAAGATCGCTAGAGTTATGTTTAACGAGGTCTTTATGAAAGACCACTTATATTTCCTACTAGAAATCTTGTAGCAATGGCTCAATTAAAAAGGACAGTTCGTCTTTTTAGACTTCTAGCCTAGTAAAGCAAACGTAAATTCGGTTCGAATGCTATAAAATTAATAATTAGAAACTGTAAGTTGTATTTGTGTTGGCAAGCTCTTGAATTGGCATGCATTCAGTATATCTAGTGCGTTCTATATGAGACAATTCGTATACGAGATTTGATTACGACTAAGTTTGTGTCGCAACTCATTTTAATTAGCATCTAGTATATTCTATAGGCGACGACTATTTTATAGGAGGTTTGCCACGGGCTCAGTTTATTCTATTAACAAACGATCTTTGTATTCGAGATGAAACAATACAGCCAACTGAAAGAGTAGTCCTTTTTTAGTTGATATAATGGATTAATTTTAGGGTTTTCAAATTCAGTTTTAAAAGGAGTCACTCGAAAAGGGAAATTGAAAGGGTTTAAGGGTAATTAAAACTAAAGGTACACGTTTAGAGAACTAGGAATTGAACTAAGAACCTCCGTAGACCCCGTAATAAATATCAGATTTATTCTTTTATTTTTAAAAAATTATTTTAAAAAAAGAAAGAAATTCAAAAGAATATATTTGACGTCAAACGCTGAAAATTAGGCATTGTGGCATTAATTAAAAGGGTCTGTACAAAACCCTCGATCTGTTTTTACAAAAAATTCTGTATATAAGACCAAAAAATAAAATAAAGATATTACACTCTTACACAAAACAAAAACAAACACCCATATCTTTTTACGAAATGCTTTGAAATCAGACGAAACGTTCCAGTAATATCTCAGCAAGATTAATTAGGCTATTTTCCATGACTATGGGGTAGTTTTTAATAATAATACTGGTTTGCTACTATTTTTGTATTATTCTAGAAGAGTTGTTTTGAGTGATTGAGCCCTATGGCAAAACGAACAAAACAACGACTTTCTTTATTCCTACGTAAATAACTTCTCAATATTACTTAGAAAACTGGATGACAAGCTACTAGTATGTAAGTTGGTTTAGCACTAATATTGTCCACACTAGAAGAGTTATGTTTCCGGTTACATTTAAAGCGACAAAACTGGAATTGTTTTATTTTGTCTCACGAAGCATYTATTTTTGGCATACGAACTGAATTTTATAGCGACATAAACAGCTTTTATAGGAACCAACAGAATAAAGTAAGTACTCAGTAAAGGCCTTTATTCAAAACCAGCCTGAATCGTACATCCCTGTCAAATATTGCTAATTAATAAATAGACTGTGGAACCTGCTGGGTATGGATTTGTTTTTTCCTTTTCATTAATTTAAACTACCATTTCTATCTATTAATTTAAACCATTTTATATATTAAGCAGAGCTTAAAGTAGTAAAGAAGTCCAATCAATCGTAATTATAACTGAAATTAGGTCACCAACTTTTGATGAATTAACACCGTTTGTCGAACTTTTAATTCAAAGTCATAAATACTTCTTGAAAACGCACGAGAATTCAGTTGGACAACTGTTAAAATACAAAAATAACATTGTTTTTTTCCGTCGGTATAGCCGCTTTTCTGTGTTAAGACAGTGATATTGTGTATACATCATTCTGGGTGCTTAGTCTGAGGTTTTTTTAGCCTTCTATTCTTATGTTTAGGGAGTGTGACCTGAAATACTTAGATTCCAAAGTCCTGTTTGAAATTTTTAGTTTCTCATGGTGTCAGGTATTGTTCGTACATTTGGGTTTCTATTAGTCCTATATATAGCACACGAATTCTGCTCTCCAACAACACCAAAAATATCGTGTCCCTGAGGGAGAAACGATAGAGGATTTCCAGAAAAATTACTAGCCATTATACCCAAGAAAGACAAAGAAAAAAGACACTCAATAACTGAAAGATACGCATCTAATATATTGGATGGCAAACCAACACACGCTAGCCTTGAGGTAAATATAAATCACTTGGAAGTTAAAGTCAGGTCAAAAAACTTGCACGTCTAAATAATGTATTGTCATTAACGAAAAAAAGATAGGTTAGTTTGAGCATCAATATGAATGGAAGAACAAGCGAACCGACTTGTAAGCAACTTCGTGTGGTGCTATCTTAAACCGCCAATACTCATAAATATACATCAAATATAAGGTCGCTTTCACTTTAACAGTTGTTATCATCTTACGACAAGACAATGCTTCATGAAGGTCTCATCTCAATTTTTTTCTGGGCGAAGGAAATATATATGTAATCTATTTATATCGTATTCTGTTATCGGCTTATGACAAGACAATGCGTCATGAAGCCCTCTTTTCTCACGCGACCTAATCAGCAAACTTTCACTTTGTTTGGAACGAAATCCTTTTAAATGTTTTTATTCCTGAATGAAGGTAATTTCTATGTCATTATATTTTGCAGTAGTGTTTTATTTATCAAGAAAACTTCGATAAAGAAACCTTATATAGTTTTTAGACTCTTTCTCAAGTAGAATCTTAATTTAATCACTTATGTCAATAGCTTTTTCACAGTAAATTTATAACTGTGGTACCTAAAAGTTGTACTAAGAATAATATAGCTATACAATTTTGGAAATGTTGGAAATAATCCTAAAACGTCGAACGAAAGTTATATACGAAAATATTTTGATTCCTGCCCGCATGTCTTCTTATTGAATATGATTTCCTTCTTTAACTCAGAAGGAATTTGAACTAGAATTCTTAATGTTTTGAAAGCGACAAGTGAAAACTAGAACGGTCTTTGGATAAACTAACATAAATGCCCGTATGCCTGGTCACATATAGTTAACCAAGGGCGCCGTTTATGACTTGAAGAATCAGATGGTCGCAAAATGATCTTTAAAACCCGTCTACAGTAAATTACATGTCTGTTCTCAGTCGTAGGAAGCTAGCGGAACTAAAAGAGATTTTTTCTATTATAATTTTACTCTACCTCTTTAACAAAAGCTTGGAAGTCACTGTGAGTTTTCGCGGCCGCCATAATGGGTAGTTAAATGAAACAAACGATTTCTCGTTATACAGTAGTGTCTTGTTATATCAACCAACATGGCTTCAATGTCTTTTGTTATTTAGGGTACGAATGCGAATCTTCTAGACATAATCACAAAAAAAGTCATGAAATTTGTCTGCATTACTCAATGTATTTTTTCTTCTTTCTCTAGGAAGACCACCTCTCAAATTGAAAGTGTTTCCACCTCCAAACATGAAAGTCTTCCTGGGTATGGTTTTAATGTTCACAACACAGTTGGTAACCAAGGTTACAGCCATCAATCGGTTGAACAAGTCGGGGAACGTGTCAATAGGGTTTCTGGTTTCACTTCATGGAGAATATTCAAGCGCTATTGAGAATTGCACACGTTTTTACTTGCCTGGTGTGAACCGCGTCGAAGCGCTTATCTACGCTGTCGACAAAATCAATAATGACTCGGAACTCCTTCCGAACGTCACCCTCGGGTACGATATCCGAGACTACTGCAATGATCGAGGAATCGCAATGAAATCCGCTTACGAATTTATAACGAGCAACTCGTTCACTTTCGATTCCATTACCGAGTATTCTACGAACGCACGAAATTTTTGTCGTCAATGTATGAATGAGGTTCGGAATCATTCGGATTCTATCGTTGGTGTGGTCGGGCCATTCGGTTCTCGCAACTCGCTCCAAGTGGCAGGACTAATGCGCGTTGTAGGATTAGCAGGGATAAGTCCTTCAGCGACCAGTGAAGAACTGAGTTGGCCTTTTTATGATCAATTCTTTCGTACCGTTCCTCCAGATAACCTCCAAGCAAAAGCAATGGCGGATCTAATTGATGAATTTGATTGGAACTACGTTGCCGCTGTAGCGGTAGAACACTCGTATGGTCTCTACGGAATACGCGCTCTAGAAAGAGAAGCACTAGAAAGAAAAACCTTTTGTATTGGATTCACAGAATACATTGCGCCCACAGACTACCAGCGGAATCTACCTATCATTGTAGAACGATTAAAAAGAGCTGCGCACGTGAAAGTGGTAGTCTTGTGGATCGAAGATCGGATTGCTAAAGACCTAATGAAAGAAGCTGCTAAACAAAAGCTTTATTATCGCATTTGGGTGATGAGTGACTCCCTCGCTACGAAAAACCCAGATTTCCTTGGTTCTGATTTCATCTACCTGGGAATATATCTCGGTATTCAGCCCAAACAGTACAGAGATATTGAATATGAGAATCATCTAAAAGGGTTGACTCCCAAGAAAAGTCTCAAGTTGGAAAACAAATTTTGGGAGACTGTTTGGAAAGAGGAGTATGGTTGTGTAGCGAACTTAAATGCGTCCAACACCCAAGGATCCTGTTCTGAAAACTTCACTATTTCCACCATCTTCAACAAACTATCCGACGACTTTGTCTCATATCAAGTCGACGCAGTCTACGCAATTGCGCATGCGTTAGATAAGATATACCGCTGTAAAAAGGGTCAGGGGCTCTTAAAAGGCGGAGAATGTCCCTCGACGTCTCCATCGATCAATCCACATCATGTTCTAATGTATCTAAGGAATGTCAGCTTTAAAGGTATTACTGGACGGATACAGTTTGATGAACTTGGAGATCCTTACAGTTCATCGTACGATATTATCAGCTTTCAACAGAACGACGGAGTTGGACGGCACAATAAGGTGAAAGTCGGCGATTGGTTTAAGAATCGCAGCTCAAAGCTCAAGATCTTTGAGGGTGCGATTGCGTGGAACAGTAGCTCTGGTATTCCTAAATCCGTGTGTAAGGATGTTTGTCCACCAGGGACGATGCAGACAACTACTATTGCTTGTTGTTGGGAATGTTTGAAATGTCCGGACGGGACCATCACGCAATCGCACGGGGCAAGAAACTGCACAAGCTGTTCAGCAATGCAGCTCTCAAGCGATGACAGAATCACGTGTATTGATCTACCAATCATATCACTCAAATGGTCTGACATCACAGCTATTGTTATCGCGATTATAACAAGCATAGGGTTATTGCTGTGCGCTTTTGTGATGTTCGTCTTTGTTCGCTACAGGGATACTCCTATCGTCAAGGCATCTAACAAGGAGCTTAGCGCAGTAATTTTGCTTGCTATAGTCTTGTGCTATGTACTGACTTTTCTTCACATCTCAGGTCCATCGGATGAGTTGTGCTCCGTCGTTGAACCATTGCGATATGTTAGCTTGACCATCTGCGTTTCCGTACTCGTTTTGAAAACGATTCGGATTCTTCGCGCGTTTGAAACGCGAGCCATGCTTCAATGCATTAGCAAGAATCTTATCTTCGACACCAGAAAGCAGTTTATCGTTGTGCTCCTTATCAACGCCCCGCAACTTCTCTTACTCGCTCTCTGGAAAGGTACCGATCAACCATCCTTGAAGAAAGAGATCGTCGCTAAAGTGTCAATTCTGTTGTCATGCCAACTGTACAAGACAACCGCTGGCTTCACCTTCCACATGTGTATGGTGGCGTACCTCATCATGTGGTCTCTATTCTGCGCCTACTATGCGTTTAAGGCGAGGAATCTTCCAGAGAACTTCAACGAGGCAAAGTACATTGGGTTTTCTATGTATATTCTTCTACTGTCTTGGATAACCTATTTTCCCGTGCAGTATACCCTTGATGGTTGGTATGTAACAGTGGTGTCATGCGCGACAATCCTTGTCAGTTCATACGGGTTCTTAATTTGCATTTTCGCGCCAAAAATACACGTTGCTTTGTTTCATCCAGAGCGCAATACCAGTGAGTTCGTGCGCTCGACAATACGACAACATAAATCCAGTGAGGTTGAACCAGCTAGAGATGTGGCACAAGCATTAAGTGGAACAATAGTTGGGGCGTCGCCATTAGGAGCTAAGATCACAACCGAGGCGTGACAGAAATGATTGACTTTGTTCAAAGAAATTTTGAAGAACATTATCTATACACCGTTCTTATAATGCCTGACAAATGCACAAAAATGAGGCCACCCAGTCGTCTTACAAGGCTGAGGAAGACTGCTCATTCAGAATAAAGGAGGTTTTAAGGTCAAAAGAAAAGGTCATTTTCTAAACTTTTTTTCTATAAACTCATTTCATGTGTTTTTATATCTTTGATTGTGAACTAATGACCGGGTGACCTCATTTTCTTGCACTTGTCAGCCATTACGAGATATCCGCGGGATATATAGAAGAAGACGTAATTTACGTATTGATGGTTTTCAACCCATTCCCAAGAGAATTAAATAACAAAAGACGCGGCGGCCATGTTGGAGATATAACAAAAGAATTCATTGACAATTCTTTTGTTAAGTTCCTCCAACATGGCCGCCCTGAAAACCATCAATATAGCAAAAATATATCAAGCATACATTATAAACCTATTAACCCATCTGCTGGTCAGGCTCATTCAATATTCATTTACTCTTTACACATTAAGATATTAAAAAAGCATTATAAATCTGTAAAAGGACAGGAATAAAGTTAAACGTAAAGGAAACTCTTGAATAATCATCATTAGTTAGTAGCATATTTGCTTTCTAGTGTGTTCATGATTTTTTCGGCTTAGCTTTGACCCAGTCTAACTCGATTATCTTTGCCTGATGGTGGTCTGGTCACCAGGCTGAGTACAACCGAAGCTAGGTTTCCAAGAAGTGTTTGATTGTCAGAAGTATAAAATTTTTAGACGCTAAATATGTCTGTTCTTGATTCGACGGTTTTTCTCCGGGTTTTCCGCAGCCGATTTATTTTCCACGCTAAATATGACACGCTAAAAGTCCAATTCGTTCCCTGACTTTTATCACTGACCCCAGCGGTTGCTTCATTGTATCAACAAAATTGAAGCTCTTTTAAAAGATTTCCCCCCGGATCGATTAGAAAATATTGCTAAAAGCCTGAATTTTCCCCTTATGCTCTTCGACCAAGAATCCAATTACACGTCTGTAAACCCTGCATTGTTTGCCTGCAATAGGTTGGTTGGTATCACATGACCTTACTGTCTTACGTCACGGCTCCTGGTGACACTGACTAACCTTTTAGCCCAACATACCTTGACCCTAAATAAGGTTGACTTTCAGTAACTAGTCAAGGTATTCAAACTGTCTCCTCGAATGCAAAGGTTAATTAAGAGTTCAAAGGAGTGAAACCCGGGAAAAAACTTCAGATTTTCTTGGTATGATAATTAGATATTGTCGTGATTGATATTAACTCCTCTAAAATGACAAGCAGCAAATCATATATTTTAGCCAATCAGTTAAAGCCAAGCAATAGCAGACACTCGAGTAGTTCTACAGGTAGAATTGTATGTTTGTCATGCACGTTTACGGTCCGATGCGCGAGCATTCACCTGTAAGGATCGACGGGTGGTCTGGAAATCAATGGCTTTTTAGAAATACAACACTTTTTATTTTGCCATCAAAGTACAAATTTTGAAGCCATAATTCTTTCAGTTAAATTTTCCAAATCTTAGATCAGCCCAGAGGTTGTTTCAGGGTTCGATCTGTGAGTTAGCCATGCCCTGACTTAGATCAGCCCAGAGGTTGTTTCAGAGGTTGTTTTTAATTGTCATTTTTATTGCGTAAAATAAACCTAACCAAGATTGAGGTGAAGTCAGTGAATGATTGAATGAGACTGAATGACCTGTTCAAAGAGCATTAAAATCCATCCTGCGTCCAAGTTGCCATAGCTAAACAACAAGGCCAAATGTCAACCCAAATAATGAATAATAGATATCGATAGTTTATATGGAGAATATAACTACATTTTAAAGAAGGGAAGTCGAATAGATCAAAGGCTTTTCTGGCCAATATCAAAAATGAAATGTGTTTTTATGGAATCACAAGGAGTGGCGTGCAGACTGGCACGCATGCACGAATCGATATTGATGCCTTTCCTTTTGACCACCAGTTTTCCTTCATTAACATCAAAGCGACATTGAAGACCAAACAGGTCTATGTTAATGAAATACTTATTTAACTCGTTCACCTTTTTGGGTCACTTTGTGGACTTTTGATTTAAAAAATATCAAAGGTTTAAAAATGCGCTAAATAAGTTAAAAAAACTGAGCTACGAACAACTCCAAAACACTCAAAACTCAAATTTGAAGAAACCGAGGTAGAATTCTCTGGTATGTTCGCTAGGATTCTCTACAGAAAATTTCTGGACCTTAGTGCTATGAATATTTTATGGTAGACTTTTGTTGACTCCAATGGTCCTGAGGTTAGGAAGGTTAGTTGGTTTTTATGACAAGCTTAACATGCGATGCGAACGATGTTTGAAGTGTGTTTATTATCTTGCAAGAAAACTGATTGGGAAACGAAATGGGAAATGAAACTGCTAAATAAAGAAGGAGAAAGATATCATTTCTTTCTAAGCTTAGTTAAGACTACTCCTTTCTAGTTTCTTGAGGCGCGTCTACCGTAAAATGAGAGAGAAAAAGAAAGAAAGAAAGAAAGAAAAAAAAAGAGAACAAAGAAGAAGCAACAGGAAAAAACAGATCCCGCACTGACTGAGCACAAAACCAAAACATCGGCTTCTCCAAGACAAAACAATTGCAGTTCTTTAATCAGATCTTTTCGAAACGTGTTTTTTGATTTTGTTTTGCTTTATAGATTTTACCAGCAAACGACAACAAATTGAAGTCCGTCAAAGTAAAGCACCGATTCACCCACAGATTGGTGGGGTAGAGTGGCTTAAATATGGCTAAATTGAGGTTCACCTTCTAGGGCTTTTATCAGAGATCTTTTTCTTTTCTTACTGGTTTATTTTTAGATATTTTTTGTACAAAACCCAAGGTACCAAAAACAAAAACCAATGTTTTAGGCGAGCTGACATGGATACTTACCCCACCCCCGTGGTTCTGCAGATTGTCAATCAATCAGTCGGAAACCAAAGGAACACGAGCACCAGCACTACAGGTAGCACAGTAGCAACAGGTGTTTCCCTGCTTCTAAACAATACAACCAGTCATAACCAGAGCGACCTTAAATATGACATGCTTGTGCCACCGGGCGCCCAAACATATCAATAAATAATTATCTTCTCCTTTGAACTTGAAACCAGCTCGAATAACAGAAACCTTTTGAAGTCTCGTCAAAGAAGGGCAACCTAGCGAGAGGAGAGGAAAAACAGACCAAGACTCTCACAGACTCAACGCTAGGATGACAACATGTATGGATATTCCTCCTGTTGAGGTTAAACAAGTACAGACCAAATCCAAGCCCGAAGAAAAAGTTGAGTGTGCAGTTTGTAGTGATAAGTCCACAGGGAAACATTACGGCGTGAGTACATGTGAAGGTTGCAAGAGCTTCTTTAAGAGAACGGTTCGTAACAGTACGAGCTATACATGCCGGGGACAAAACAACTGCCATATTGATCGACATAGCAGAAGTCGTTGTCCGGCTTGTAGGTTCCAGAAATGTCTCGATACAGGCATGAAAAAAGAAGGTAAAACACAGAGATGTTTTCAAAACAATCCAACAATGTTTTGTTAACTTTTGTATTAACTTTTGTAGTCTACCTCTGCTAACAATAGATAGCTGTCGAGATAGTAACTTTAATCTAGGGCAAATAAAAGTCTTAAACAAAAACAAAAAAAAAATAGAACAAGTCTTTTAGCTCCGTAAGGTCTTACGATCGATTTTCAAACGTAAAAAATACAAAATGGAAAATATTTAGACACGTTTTTACCACGAGTTTTCGTTACCACTGAAATCATTGTATTCTTCTCGGCCTTATCTTGCTTTCTCGCTCTTTCTAAACAACTCACAAAGAAAATGATACACTTAATTCAATAGTGTTATAATGTTTATAAAATAAGGTTATTAGATTAATTAAAAAGTTATCAAAATGAACAGTAAATCATCAAAGAATTCAGTCATCATACACGCACATCGCGGCTTACTCGACTGTCGTGTTTCCGTATATTGCATTGAGATAAAAACATTAAGACACAAGTGCACTGGGATAACTTTGTTTCTAAATTAGTGGACTCTATTCTCGAAAAATGTGACAAATAGAAGGAAAGTAAAGCAAATTCACATTAAAATAGACTATATAATATTCTACCGCAATGCGTCGTGCAATCTTTCGGAATTTTCCCCCTTTTTGAAAAGAAGATTTTAAAAATACTATTTTGTAAAGGTTTAAGATATATCTAATTACGAGGACGTTGTCATATAGAAAATAATGATAACACAAAAAAGGAATTATAAATATATTTTGATTCTGATTTTAAAAGCCCCTTGATGAGAATGAGTATCTGTTAGTATATACCAACAGGATAGTATTAAAAAATGCTAAAAAATAATAATGAATCCCTCTTTCTTATTACAGTAGAATTTACAGGAATATTTTTCAAAGAGTAGGAAATGTAAAGTAAATATTTGTTTTTGACTTTTCAATAGCTGAATGAAAAAGGGAAAAAGGTACCAGCTTTCGACAACAAAGCCGGCAGCATGCAATGAATAGCAAGACAGGTAGTAGCACAAGGCCAACGAGGACGAACTCTAACCTTTGTGTCTCACGCTTTACGTTATACAAGCCAAACATTAAAGAAATCGGTCAAACTTACGTGCAGAAATTAACCATAAGAAAAAACAGTTCAAAAATCAGTTTTCGTCAGTTTGAAACAGAGGATTGTGATTCCCAAAGGAAAGCGGCCTTCAAGATGATAAAAAATGTAGGCGGATTAGCTTGTAAACTTTTCCTTGAAAGATCTAGAATGGCAAAAAAAATTTAGGCAGACAAGCTTGCTGAAAATTTTACAATTTTGAACGTTAAATAAAAAATTGAACGTTCGTAGCGCACGCGTGTTTCGTTATAGATCCACGTGCATCGCCCCTTAAGGCACTATGTGGCCACCCCAAGCTAGGTTGTTAAGCAGGTTTTGGCGTTGTCAAGTGTGATTTGTTTATAAAGGACTGAAAGATTAATCATTTGAAGAAATTTAGTGCTTGTTGTCTTTAGATATGACCTCATCAGTAGCTATGCATGACATTGACAAAATTTTCTTATTTCTCAGCTGTCCAGACGACAAAGCTACCATCATTTCCAAACTTCCAGTTTCCCTTTTACGGGGACATGAACACAATGTACGCACAGGGTATGTTTCCTCTGACAGTGTTTCAGTCACCATTCATTCCAATGGGTATGATTCCAATCAACCAGACAAGACCCGACGTTGCTTACGAGCTCGCTGCCAACGTGCTCTTCTCTATGATGGATTGGGCAAAGAAGCTAACAACTTTCAACCATTTGATCGAGAATGACCAGATAACTCTCCTCAAAATGGCCTGGAGCGATTTGTTTCTCCTCGAAGCAGCCCGCAGTCCATTACAGATGTATGTACAGCAGATGTACTCGACAATCAATGCGCAAACCAAGCAGCTTTCGATGGAGGTGATATTGAAGAGAATGGAATATGCCAGGATGTTCCAGGAACAAGAGGAAAGAATAAGAAATCTTGGCATGGACATGACAGAGCACTTTCACCTCAAGTGTATCGTGCTGTTTCGAGCTGGTAAGTGAATGAAATACTGAAAGAAATACTGAATGAAAGAGAAAATGGAGAAATGGGAAAAGAAAGTACAAAAGCAAAAAACAAAAGAAAATATTGAAAAAAGCATTGTGCTGTTTTGAACAGATAAGTAAATGAAATACTGAATGAAAGGAAAAAATGAGTTATAAAAAAGAAAAGAAAATGAAAGGAAAGGAAAATAGAGAAATGGGAAAAGAAAAATCAACAAAAAATCAATAACAAGAAAAGGAAAAAATAGAGGCCGGGGAAACGATGAAGAACGAGAGAAAAGGCAGGACAGCAAGAAGAAAAGTGGGTAACAATAGTACCGCACAGAAAGAAAGGAAGGAAGGGAGGAAGAAAGAAAGAAAGAAAGAAAGAAAGAAAGAAAGAAAGAAAGAAAGAAAGAAAGAAAGAAAGAAAGAAAGAAAGAAAGGAAGGAAGGAAGGAAGGAAGAAAGAAAGGAAGGAAGGGAGGGAGGGAGGAAGGGAGGGAGGGAGGAAGGGAGGGAGGAAGGAAGGCAGGAAGGAAGGCAGGAAGGAAGGGAGGAAGGAAGAACGGCAAGGATAAATTTAGAAAACCGTTAAGCAATCCTAATAATGTTTCTTCCAGATGGTTCACTCATCAGTCAGCCGCGCCAGGTCGAGGTTCTGCAAGACACTTCCCAAAGTTCTCTCGAACAATACATTCGCACTCAGTATCCTACCCAACCCACCCGCTTTGGTAAACTTCTACTGATGCTGTCATCGCTGAGAAAGGTCGAGCCCACTGTCATTGAGCAGCTGTTTTTCGCAGATGTTCTGCGCGGCGCATCTATGGGTGACGTACTACGAAAAATGCTGACTAACACTGTGGCGAACCCTACTACGCTTGCTGCTTTGGCCAACAAAGGAACATGAAGTTTTGAATAAGGACTAAGTGTCAAAGATGATTTTAGACAAGTAAAAATTAATCTTAAACAGTTAAGTAACTTTGGTTTAAGAGAAAAAATATTCTAACGCTTCGAGGCTGAAAATCTCCTCACCCCTCCCTCTGTAATAGTAGAGGAGGAAATGAATTTAGATTAAAGAAATAGAATCTCTTAGAGATTTTCATAAACTCTTGCAGCAGAGACTGATCATCTCTGGAACATAAGGAAGATTTTCCCGCTTGGAATTGTGGGGCTGATGTTAAACCAACTGTCCCATAGTTCCATGCGACGCACTTTTGTTACCAGTGTTTTTATTACCCTATTTATCTAGAATATTAGTAGAAAAAAGCAAAAGGAATACATTTGAAAATAGAGTTTGTAGGTAAAATAATAATCAAAAAAATATTTATATATCATATATATATTCATATACTTAAATAAAGAGATTATACTATAGAATATTAGAAACGTATTTTACAAAAAGTTATCAAAAGACAAAAAATAATGTGTGAACAATTAGAATGAAAGAGTATATTGCATCAATAAAGATATTTTAGATGATATCAATGACCAGCGGTTGCTTCTTTCATGGTATGCGCAATGAGACTATATATCTATCTTGTGTAATTAGCCTACAGTACTATTGGAACGAACATTAGATGATTCAAATTTAAAAAAACTGCACCCTATCTTTTAATAGAACAGTTTTTTGACAACATTTTAAAATCTATTTCTCTTCTTTTTATTTTCTTAGTTTTTTATTAAACTCATTTATTAAACTCCTAAGAATTCTTAATAGCTTTTTAACATCAACCTTATAAATTTTACATAAATTTTCTTACAGAGGTTTTAATAGTATCATTAGGAAGAGGAATTGTATAAAGTTTTCTATGACTGATACTCATCCATATGTATTTTTTCTTTCTTCTCCTTTTTTTTTTTTTTTTTTTTTTTTTTTTTTTGTCGGGCTATTTATTCGCCTAGACCACGCTTCCTGTCCAGACAGACAGACAACTGATATTCGGCTGACTGATTTTCATGATGTTCATTTACATCTGCGTTATTCCATTCATCATCCCATTCATATTCATCATCCCATTCATATTCCCATTTTGCAGCGGATACCAATTTCCCGCCACAGGGCCCCCAATACTCGACAGTAGCATCTCATTGACTAAACTATCAACATTACATCCCATTCCCAGTCTTGAAAAGAAAAGCTCTTCAACAGCGACCGTGCGGAGAAGCCGAAGAGCAGGGAGCCTGAGAAGGAGTTTTCCAAACCGTGTGCTTTGATTAGGGAACTGGGTCCTAATATAGTCCTCCAGTGCAGTCTGGGTACGTTCTTGTAGATTCTCTACTTGACCAGTATTTGAAAGCCCTTGAGAATCTAATAGACGAACAAGAAAAATGTCCATGAAATAATTGACTTTTACATGCTTTAACAAAAATTTGTTCTGCCTTTCCAACCAAGATTTTTTGAATCTAGGACGATTTCACGGCAGGCATGCTGAAGGACAAAAAATTGACTTTTTAGGAAACTAAAATCTCTTGTTTTGCAAAAACATTGAAATGTTCTTGCCATCCAACGTAGCTGCTGTGAAATCGTTCTATAGTACTGTCTACTGTGAATATTTATTTCCAATCTCTGTGGCTCAGAGTAGACCTCTTCAGCTTCGTTGTTTGTTGTGCACATTTCAGACCATGTGATGCCACTCTTGGGAGTTAATTCTTTCATGTGTAAATATTTTAACATGTTTGTCATAAAAGAACAATTATCAAGGGAATGTCACGTGATCTGAAATTTGCAATTTGAATACGAAGCTAAAGAGGTCTATTAACCTCGATTTTGTGCAGAATAAAGTGTTTCTATTACTGGAGTCGTGCATTCTTTACTTTACTGTTGGTATTTGTTAATATTTTGGCACTAACACGAGTCTATAACCAAACAGTGCAGCGTTCTATTCTTATTATCGCTATAGTAAGACAATCTGAATATAAGCTGAAATACCTGGATTGAAGAGAACGATGGCTTTCAAGCAGGCAAACTCCGCGGAGTCGATCTGCAGTCCCCTCAGCTTGTCCACCTGTTCCTCAAACAACTTCATGTTGCTGTTTTGACAATCGAACGCAGAGATCATACTACTGGCAGGAAAATCCGTGCCGTTGGGAGTAGAGTTGCTCAACGGTGGAGCAAAGTGAAACGGCGAACAGTGCTGGGCAGCGTTTAATATAAACAGTTCACTCCAGCAAGATCGGAGCAGAATTGCCTGATCAGTGATAGAGAAGTCTGAATAAAAAGGAATATTCTTGGCCCATTCTACCGCGGACACAAGCAGCCGCGCGGCAAGCTCGGGCGTATTTTCTAGTCCATTGATACTTGATGGTAGCGTAAGGGATTGCTGATAGCGAGCGATAGTGTCAGCTCGTAACAGAAGAGTGATGTAACTGGAATAGAACGACTGATTGCCATGGAGATCGTTAAATTGTAAAGACATGGAGACGTTATCTGATTGGCTGGTTGGTACTCTGCCTTTTTGGACCGCTGTACAAAGAAATTACATAAAGTATGAGTAAATATTTTAACTGGGACAATGTATAGAGAGTTTTCACACGCCGTCACAGCCGCCATATTGGTGTACCTTTAACAATAACTTTGTCACTAGCTTATTTTGTTAGGTACGCCAATATGGTTGCCATATCTCTTGTCAGCTAACTCTCTAGAGAGACTAAGTGAAAACGCTCCATTTTGAATGACATCTGAATGAAAAAATGAATGAAAATTTAAAATTGAAATGATCTTTTCATAGCGTAACGGTTTATAGTAAAAGAATAGCTGGTGTGTTCATTATTAAATAATGTGGTCATTGTCTGAAAATTAACAAAGAATAAAAAATCAAAATTGTTACAAAAAACAAAGAGTCTTAATAAAAACTTAGAACAAAACACCACTTATTGTGGAAAACGAAATATAAATAAATAAATAAATAGAAAATAAAAAGTGTCTAAAAATAAAATATACTGTGCATTTTCTTGGTTTGGAATAATAATAATGTATAACGTCACTAAATAATGTGTTAAAGAAAAAATAGAAAAACTGAGAGAAACTTGTTTATTACCTACCTTCTTTTCTCATTCCTACTTTCAAACATTTCTTCAAACGACAATACTGACACTGATTTCTGCTTTGTACATCAACAGGGCAGTTACGAACCGATCTACAAGTGTAAGTGAGATTCCGTCTTATACTCCGTTTGAAAAAACTCTTGCATCCTTCACACGTGAAAATTCCATAATGTTTGCCTGATGATTTATCACCACAAACCGCACAGTCGACAGAAATCTTTGGGGACGAATTCTCTTGCTGTTCATTGGCGTACGAACAGTCTGAATGAAGTGGGTTAGTCTCTTCTGGTCCAAAGGAGTTGGCTGAAGAATTACCCTCGCTCAAGGTTCCTGGTTGGGTCACGGAGTCAAACACACTAAGCGGTAAACTATGAACTAGGGAGTCACTAAGTTCATCCATAGTGTGAATGGATCGTTATCTGTTATTCTATATTGATAATCGAGGAATAATCTATAAACATAAGCTCCACTGTGAATGGGATAATAGCCTTTGTTGGCATGAAAGAAAATGACAATGACAATTAGAAAACGGTTTGTGAAGCCTGAAAAATTGATTAGATTGTGACACCAGTTTTTGCAACCTGCTTGGAAAAAACTACCTTCAACTGGCCAAAACCTCGAAAATAACGCATTTTTTACTCAACTTGGTGGGTGGATTTTGTATTAATAACGAGACTTTTGTTTGTGATTTAGTCTCGTAAATATTTAGCTTTAGATTGACAATGTTTTTCTTTTGTTTTGGTTGTTTTTTAACAAATGTTATGTTTTCTATTCATGGTGTTTTGATAAATAATTCAGGTGTTTAGCTTTAACTTATGAATAATTCATTATAGTATAGTAAGCGAGAGGGGATTACTACAGCTATATGCCACGTACAACGAGTCGTGGAACTCACCCCCTCTTTTGAAACGAAGTAAAGTATTTCTTCAGTTAAATGGAACAAGAAATTTCACAAAAAGTATATCATATAGAGAGTTTGATTCCGAGTGCGCAATCATACGGAATGGTTTTGATATGATAATCTAAATAATATTGAGGGTAGGTGAAGGATAAACTCTGTTTATAGACCTTTTGGAGCAAAGGGCGACATTGATGATCAAAAGTCGATTTGCGCAAGTTTTATTAGCCTAGACATTCAATTTCTATCGATACCTTAAAACAACCTCAGGGCTGAACAAAGTCCGGAAGGGCACGCCTAACTCACAGATCGCACCCTGAAACAACCACTGGGTTGATCTAAGTCAGGGCACGCCTAACCCACAGATCGAACTCTGAAACAACCTCTGGGTTGATCTAAGTCAGGGCACGCCTAACTCACAGATTTGAAGTCTGAAACAATCTCTGGGTTGATCTAAGTCAGGGCACACCTAAATCACAGATAGAACCCTGAAACAACCACTGGGCTGATCTAAGTCAGGGCATGGCTAACTCACAGATAGAACCCTGAAACAACCTCTGGGTTGATCTAAGTCAGGGCATGGCTAACTCACAAATAGAACCCTGAAACAACCTCTGGGTTGATGTAAGTCAGGGGACGCCTAACTCACAGATTGAACCCTGAAACAACCTCTGGACTGATCTAAGTCAGGGAACGGCTAACTCACAGTCAGTGGTAAGCATAATAAAGTACTACCAAACTTACCAAGTCCCCACTGACATTTACAACCACAGTTAACTGATATTGATCCAACAGTCAAGAATAAAGAGCAGTAATCTAAATTAAGGAAGAAAAAGTAAACGTCAGATTAGCAAACAGCTTGTTTTATTCGACAGTAAATCAGTGAATCTTTCCTATCCCGTTGGACATACAGACAATCCATCAGACAGACAGACAATCCCTCAGACAGACAGACAATCCATCAGACAGACAGACAACCCATCAGACAGACAATCTATCAGACAGACAGACAGACAATCTATCAGCCAGACAGACAATTCATCCGACAGACAGAAAGTCAATGACCCGCAGACGTAGTCTTCTGCGCAGCCACCGACTAGGGTCATCACATCTACAGTCTGTCAATCTATCTGACAGACGACAGAAATGCCGTCGTCAAGGAAATTACATCTTCCAACTTAACCGCGCCAGCTAAATAGTTTTAAATTTTGAAGTCTTTAAATAATACTAAAAGAAATTTCGCTATTTCTAATACGCGCTCATGGGATACAAAAGTTACAATAGGCTACGCTAGCCTGCGTCACATCCGGATGTGACGTACCAGGCTAGTTTTAAAATAAAAATCCACAGGAGGCCCAACAATAGTATTCGAAATCAGTTTTGTCAAAACTTAAAAAATATCGATGAAATTAGTTATTATTTTCATTGACTTATTCTTATTTTCACATTCGTGGGGCTTGCAAATTATTTTGTTTAGATAAATTAGTATCATTCTGCTGTTTGATTGGCTGTAGATCTACGTTATAGCCTTACCCTATCCTTCCTTAACAATCGATGTTTCGTCCCGCTTCATTAGAGAGAAATTCCGTTTCAGCATAGTCTCCCCCACAGCCGCGTTCAGTGTCGTCACGCAACGCTACGCTTTCAGGGGAGAAAGCGTTGCGTGACGACACTGAAAGCGGCTGTGGGGGAGACAAGTTTCAGCATGAAAAACGAATGAACTGCAGCAAAAACAAATTTGAAAAATTTAATTAATAGAATCATCCAATGCCACAATTAAAAAAAAAAAATGTTAAGGGAAAATCAGCTAAAAAGTTTTTCCACAATTTTTATGAAAACCCAAGATAAATGACGAAAAAGTTACAGTCCAATAATCATTCTAGAACCTTCTAAAACAAATATTCCTCTATTTTCATTAGCATAGGACTTCTAACGTTCTTTTTGTGTTGCTTTTTCGTCGATGGTTTAACTTATATTCCTATGAATCTAACGTAACAGTTCTTTCTTCGGGTTATCATTGCTAAAATACACCCTACCCGGGGAGGAGAGAGGCAAAAATTGACTAAGAAAATAGGTCGAATATTAGCTCGCCCACTTATCGCCTGTTGTTCGTTTCTATGTGGTTGACGTAAACGCCAAACAAATATCATTTGAAAATGATCTGATTGGACGAAAATGACGTATTGGTGGTTTCGTATGTTACTATTTTTGGTCTATGTATTGCACCACCATCAGTAGAAATAGTGCAAGACCAGCTAAATCTTACATGTTCACCGATAGAAGCGAAGTTGATCGCTTGTTGGTGAAGGATACACGATCTTTGACTGGTTGAACAAGAAGGCTTCTTGACCAAAGCTGGGGAGAACTTCACGAGCTCACTTCTCGTTAGCGCCCCCAATCCGCGCTAACCATCTCATTTCTACTACAAACGTTTGATAACATTTCAGAACCAAGCGAAGAATACTGTTTTACAGCAAATTCAAAATGGATCGAAAATCAGAACAAATCCAAGCCCTTCTCTTGTCCCTCGCGGAGCTACAGTTCCTACAGTTTGGAACAGAGCAATCTCAACTGCAGGACGACAATCGAGACGAAAATCAAGAAGGATACTGTGTTTTTAGCGCAGTCACCGTGCCCGTCCAATCTAGTCGAGGAATCAAGCAACTTCACTGTCGCACCGGAGAAATTCAAGGAAGATATTCCAAGCGAATTCGGTGCCACAAGAAGTACGTTCCGAGAGCCTATCGAGCAGAAAATAATAGTAAAATCCGAAAGAGATTCCTTCGAGAGCGACTGCGCCGTTGGATCTCACAAAGCGACAAACGAAACCCCAATATCAAGTGAAATATTTACAGGTAAGAATAAACGAAAAGAAAACTTTTAACTTTTGTTTAAAATGAGATCAATGACAGTTATCAGGCTTTATTAATGTAAAGCCTTTCGAGTGTTATCGAACGGCATTAATTGCAAAGTTTTGGAAATTATTCCAATAAATTTACATATGTCAGTCGATCAGAAAAGCCAATGAAGTGCTAGTTAGCACTAAAATAATAATAATAAAGCCTATGCTTGTCCAGCTAGTTATTGTGAATTGAAATGACAGAGAGAGAGAAAAAAAAAGATGCCATGATGATAATATTTATTTAGACATGATAAGTTTACAAATATAGTATCTATATAATATCTATATCGTAATAATAGAGTAGTTAATACTAAGATATGAGAATTTTCCCATAGTTTTTCCATTAAATTAATCTTAATTGCACAATTTTAATTACAATATTTTAATTTTTTTCCAGAAAACTTTAGCCAGTTAACTGACAGTATTATATCCAACAAAGATATAAATTTTGTGTCCGTTAAGACTGAAGACACACAAGAAGACAAGCTGTTCCCCAGTAGCGGGAGCTGTTTTGACGATTCCCAGCCAGACCAAGACATGGCAGATCCCTTCTTTGAAGAATTCATGGACTTTAGTAACCTCTTTCCTGAGCTCATACCCGGTGTAGATGCAGACGCATGCACTCTCCTACCAGAAATTCTCATGCCCAAGGAAGAGCCTCAAACTATCGCAATCAAAGATTTGATGGCAGACCTGGACAGCATCCTTGCAGAAACTGCACTTGCTAGTAATGATAATCAAGAAGATGAGGTTCTTAATATTGAAGTAGTTGAAGAAGCACCTACACCTGTAATGCAGGACCCAACAGAGGTTCACTCTGTGTTGTCCCCTGGAAGTGTTTTATCAGTAGAATCCTGCGACACAAGCAACTACACCAGTACGTATGCAGAGAGTACATCTTCTGACAACATCGATGTTGATCTTCTGCAAATACTCGAGCTTCTTGAGAAAGATCAGACACACACTGGAGAACCCGTCCCTGAAGGCTCTACGGTAGATGCAGGTGAAATCTTTCCCGAGACTGTTACTTCAATTAAATGCAAGAACCCTGCTACAGAAGAACCAGCAGCCAAAAGAGCCAAACCACAGCAAATTGCCAACCACACATCTAGTGATAAAGCTACCCAGAGGAGAATAAAGAACAATGCTGCCTCTAGAGTCTGCAGAGCAACAAGAAGGCAAAGGGAAGAGGAACTATTCCAAAAAGAAAAAGAACTGATAGAATCTAATGCTGCACTGAAAGCACAACTAGAAGAACTAACTAAAGAAACACAGACTCTAAGAAGTATTCTTGTCCAACGTTTAAGCAGCTGCAACTAAATTCTTAAGAATGATACATGTACAGTCTCTAAAGTCTTTAAGTACTGAAGCTTTTTACATCAAACTAAACTTGATTATCTACATGATTATACCTTAAGATCTGTTGTTGGTGATATCCAGGGTATAGTGTCCATTAACCCATGATAAAAATGCTCAAAGTACCAAATAGGTGAGAACAGTAATCTTAAGGTATTCGGTATAAAAGATTTGAATGTTGTTTCTATATTAGTTCCTTTCTATTCTTTGCAGAAATAGGTATAGTCCTTGAATTCAACATTTTTTGTGTCTACGGAATGGGAATCCAAAACGTATAGCCAGGTATTTGGCTGGTTATTCTATGTACATACATGTATTCAACTATAATCACACTGCATATATAATCAAGCCATAGAAAAATATCCGTTTAATGTTGTCTTATCATAAGCATTTTTGAATTCTTTGAAATATTTTTAGAGTTTTTTTAGTAATTCGGTGCACGAATCTTTCAATTTTTATATTTGTTTTGGTATACTCAGAAATATTGTACAAATCAAGTTTAATGGGAATCTAAATAAAGATTCGAAGGTTAATCACGTCTGTGTTTTTTTCTTTTTGAATGATTGCTATGTGGAAAAACTAGACTTAAGGAATCAAGTGTGACATGAAATAAATGTGATGCCAAGTTCAGTAACAAATCTGAACAATGCAATATTGCCCTTCACATCTTTGGACTCAGGTGTATTCCTGGACTCGGCATCACATGTGAATAGAATTTTTTGGGTCCCTCCCTTGACTTGAGGGTTTTTATCTGGGTTCTCTGGTTTTCCTTCCTCTTCAAAACCTGATTTCAAAATCTAATTCAATAGCCCACTTCCGAGATATGCTTCGCTTGTCACACACAAAGGTTTCAGTATGAGGCTACGTGCTAAATTAAATTTATTCTTACCGGTTGTCACGAATGACTGAGCATTTAGCACGTAGCCTTATACTGAAACCTTTGTGCGTGACAACCGAAGCATATCTCGGAAGTGGGCTATTGGCGCATTACCCTTGCCCTGACATAGTTTATGAAAGACTTCCTGGGATTCCTGTGGTGTTACGGACTTGCATGTACAGCCTGATGAGATAGTGGCTTCTACAAGGCAGTTGGAATTATCATGATCAATTATACAAAAGGTTTAAAGTGAGTTAATTTTATTAAGTTTGATTATTAATGACTCTATCCAAATATTGGTTTTGCACCATCATGTGACGGCAGTCATGTTAGATGGCAGGAACAATACAATCATTTTAAATAAAAGAATTCAATTTCCAAGAGAAAAGGCATTTTATTGTTCTGCCATCTGAGTCCAAGCTGTATTGTGGGCGTGGGCACAATGGTGCAAAACCTATATAGTTTATTTCCATATTAGTGATTCTTTGTTTTATATCATTTAACTTGATTTAAATTCTAATAACTGGACATCTGTTTACAGAAACAAAATACTTGGTAAATTGTGTACTAATAATATATTACAAAAAAATCATGATTTTATCGTTGGGACACAATTTCTGCATTAAATAAATCATTGAGAGTGGATTAAGATATTTTTGTGCAGCAGGGCCAAATGGCAGGCAAAAATCCCATTCTAGTTTTATCCAATTATCCTATAATTATTAAGGTGTTTAAACCCCTTTAAGTGCGAACAGAGTATAGAAATAGAGAGACCAAGAAGATTCTGCTGTGAAATAGATGAATGAACTGTAACCAATGGCTTGAGAGTGGGCATTACCTTCACTGACAGTGTCCTGCAGGATTAACTGCATCAGTCTGACAGACCCAACCTCAAACAGCCAGGGTGTATCTTGCATAAATACAAATAATGTAGTGGAGAGAGCTTTTGTCCTTGTGTTAAATTCGTGAACACAAAAAATAGCTCTCTTTTATACTGGGTGTCAAATTCTTGAACAGAAACAAAAAACTAACTACTACCTTGGATGATAATAGCTCATAAAATTTACAACGTAATCCAACACTAGAATGGCAGTGTCTTGAGGATGTTACCATGGAGACCATCTGATAGAGTAACCAGTTATGCTGCTGATAGCGCTCTCCTTTTTTTAATGAATCCTTGTAAGTTCCATTTAGTATGTGGTAACATCCAGTGTCCATTGAACACACATAATATTGTCATTTTATCAGTGTAGCATAAATCTGGCAAAAGCTGGAGTGAAAAAAATGTAAAATGTGTTACAGTATTTCCCATACAGATCAACAACTTACTAAGATTGAGAATTTTTGTTGAATAAAGGAAAAGAGTTTCAATATACGGTAACTGTATTGGTTCTTTTTGCCATACCTTGGGAGTAATAAGGAAATATTGAGCTGTGTCCTCTTTACAGGCTGTTTGAACCACCAACTCAAACACACGCCTCTCATTGTTGGGATCCATACCCTAGGAAGAAAGAAAAAATTAGACTCACCTAAAATTAATTTTTTTCTGCTAAACGCTTACAATACCAACATACTGTTACAACATAAGCTATTAAGTTATCAAACAATTGTAACAATTGTAACAACTATAATCTTACCTGGTTGATTTCATCAACTACTCGGAAAGGACAGCTAGTCATTTCTTGTATAGACATGAGGTAAAGCATGGTAGAAACGCTGCGTTCTCCTCCACTCTGATGGTGGGGATTTAACACATGTAGTGAATCCTTTGCTCTGAATTTCACTCTGATCTGTATTCCATACTTGTCATATTCATTTTCTCCCTGATCAAAGTCAAAAGTATGTGATTGAAATGAAGATTTTCATATAAATGTAAGACATGGCTAAGACAGTGCTAATAGTACTTGCCTGAGTAAGATGTGGAATAGCCAAATAACCAATATTCAGTCTACTAACCTCTTAGTATTTGTCTACTACTTTCCTATCATGAGAGTAGATTTGCTCTCCTGGTTTCCCAGACCACCATTCTCCTTGCCACCCCAAATACCCACCCACCCACCCACCTGGCCACCTGTCTAACCACTCACCTGCCACCCACCCACTTGACCACCCACCTGGCCACCTGCCTGACCACTCACCAGCCACCCACCCACCTGACCACCCACCTATCCACCCATAAAGTTTTTCAGTACCATACAAACCTGGTCCTTGGCAAGGGAAACTTCTCCTGCACATCCCATCATGCGGAAGAACTGTCCATATTTGATGTTGATTTTACTGATGAGATCTTCCAATGGTGTAAGCCACCTGTGGGGAAAAAACATCATAAGAACCATTATGTTTGATAAATAATCATATCACTATCATTCAGCCACCATCACCACCATCATCCCATCAGCAACAGCAGCAGCATTGCATTCTATCATCATCATCCCCATCATTACCACCACAATCAGCAGCATCAATGTCATCAGCATCTCAATATTATCAACCCAATTTAACACACACCACAATGAACATTATTTTATACTTTTCTAGCTTACTAAGGAATCCAGTCCTTTTTTCAAATCATCATCACTATTGTTACCAAAAAGGATGATAATCACTGTACCTTTCTTTTAGATCATTGATTTCTTGTTGCTTTGACTGAAGGTCACTTTCCTGAGATTCCACCTGCGTAGTAATGTTATTTATATCCTTCTTTCTCTTGTCATACTCTTTCACTACCTGTAATGGTACCCACAGTCAGTGTCTTTATGACGGCAGCCATGTTAGATGGCAGGCACAATACAATTGTTTTAAATGACAAAGAATTCAATTCCCAAGAGCAATAGGATTTTACGAGTATTAAAAGAGATCGATAATCTGTGTTTCACTCACCCCAGGATCTGTTTGATAGTTACACTCAGCTCTTGCGCTCTGCTCATGGATCAGTTCATCTATCTCATCTAACGTGTCTGGATACAACTTAAACGCCTAAATGAACAACATCAAATGAATTATTGAACATATTAATCTATATCATAATGGTTATATCAAATCATCATTTACATCTCGCAGGCTTGAAGGTACTTCTTCTCCCTCAGGAATACCAGTTTTGTCATGGGCTGTTTTCTTCAGATTTCTAGCTCTACGGCGCTGATTCTCTAAATTAGCTCGTGCTGCCTCATATTCATCCTAAGGAATAAGAGAATCAAGTATTACTTACACAGATATACACTGTATCAGCAAAGCAAGGGTGATAAACCTATCTATTAACCTTTAGCTGTTGTATCACAGCGTGGGACAATCACAACAGAGCTAGGCTCCAACTAGATGAAAGCCCAAGATCGATGTGCCCTGCTAATGCATCACTTCTCACCGAAGTGAGCTGAGTTTGATTCCTGGGCTCATCGTTGTATATGAGTATAGTTGCCTGTTGGTTCTCTCCTGTGCTTTGACAGTTTTCTCTCCCAAGTTCTCCGGTTTTCTTCCCTCCATAAAAATCAACTTCTAAATTCCAATTTGATTTTGGGCTTTCACCTAGTTTGAGCCTAGCTCTGTAGTAGTAACTCTCCCACACTGTGATAGTCAAAGATTATGGCGTCTCTAAGGTTATAATAATCTAGAATATAAATTATAAATGTAATTCAATTGTTACCTCTGCTTTTTTGACTTGCTCTTGTGCTTCTCTGAACTGATTACCAATCCTTGTTTTCTCTGCACTAAGTCTAGCATGTTGAAGGCTGATTCTGACCTTCTCTTTGCAAACATTTACACATTGCTGAAAGTAAAAGAATGATAAAGTTAATGAGTAAGTTGAAAAGAATATGATGTATATTTGTATATATGAATAGATATATGAATAGATGTGTGGTTTGTGAGTCGTATCTTAAAGTGCTACTACGACGAAAATCGCTCAAACTTGGATTCAGCGGAAACTTCCTAAGAATACTCTTTAAAGGTCCAATAATCACTGTATGAAGTGTTTTCTCGATATTCAGGACGAAAGTATGATATTTTTACGATTATTTTTTGGAGTCTGTGACGTCATACACTCAACATCGAAAATCGCTCCATACATTTCTTTGTAGTTTATGATCAAAATATCAGTAGTAAAGGGAGAAAGAAATACC